GTTCCATCGAAGTATTAACGAAAATTAAAGAAGTAACGAAAGTATTAACGAAGATAGAAGTCTGAAGTACATCTGTTGTCGAAACACTTATTGCTTGTTAAACTCAAACGTTTTGCGTAAGACTATATCCCCTTTCGCCTTTTACAATTTAATGGCTGGTATGTCTTTTTCAAGTGAAATTGGAATATTTAAGCTAAGGATGCAATTACAATTATTGCATCTCTCTCGACCATCATTGTTAGAAATGGCTAAATAATGTTTGAATAAATAAGAAATGACTTAATGATATTTTAAAACAAAATATAAGCTTTAAAATACGGCGCTTTTAAATATATAATGATATATCAAACTTGTAGAGATATTAGGTATTTTTTGGAAGCAAGAGAGATTGGAAAATTAGCAACGCCTTCAACGGGCATTGAACCGCGGACCTCTGGAATACGCGCCCAGCGTGCAGACCACCACACCACGAAGGCATGCGAAGAAGGCGGGAGATATACCTTATATACTCCCCCTTTTAAAGGGTGGCTAGGGTTTTTAGGGGACAAAATCGCCAAATCCTGGGTGTGGAGAATCATCATCCACCACCCTTTTAGTTCGGGCTTTGATTTTCAGTCTTCCAGAGTATCCAAGAAACTTTATTTAGTGCCAGGTTTTTGTATATATGTTATTTACTTTTGCCTAATTTGTATTCACTGTTCTCCATGTTACTTTCTTCCCTTATCAAAATACATTTATCACGCATGCCTTACTTTCCTAGTACGTACATGTTAATATAACCTTTTCTATACATGCATATACAAAAAAAGGAAAGAGAACAGGGACTAAACTGCTTTGAATACTTCCATGTATATTATTTGTACTTCAAAAACAAATGATAACAGAAACAAGAGAATTGAAATAAAGAAAATTTTAGAAACTTTAGGCTAGTTTTCACATCTAAAATTTTATTACACACATTTTTATGAAATGGAATTAGAAATGAATATGTGTTTATTCCTTTTAACGCTGTTGACTGAATTTTGTTTGCATCCTACAATTTTAGGCCCACCAGCAGCGAGCATTAAAGTAGTTGAAAACAGATATTTCGACATGGGCTCGATTCCAGGTGAGCTAGATGCGATTTTTGGCTCGAATGACATTTCTGTGGTTTTCCCTATGTATAATGTAGCTACAAACCAAAGTTCATTATAAAGTCCTAAATGGAACCATCATTTTCTCTTAGGTAGATATTCCTCGCTTGCTTTGCCACGATCAGGTAAATCAACCTACATTTTCGTACTTGTGTTAAAATATTTATTCTCATATATATTTCTGTAGTATGTTAAAAAAAATTTGTGAAATATATCTGTAAATCACAGACGTAAAGCAGCACCATAATTCTTAAGCGTACGCGTACGTTTGCGAAACGTTAATAGATGCGACAGAGAAGCATTTACTCCAAGTTAAGAGCCATAAAAAATTTCGCAGTGACCGAATTAAGAAAGGGGAAAATTTTTATAGGTATCAGAGATTTTAGCATTCAATTTTTAGGATTTAGAGTGAAAATGACTAGCAATTTCTGTGAATTTGATCATTTGTATCAATTTTATCACATTTTATTTCTTTGTCTATAGTTTTTATACGGACTGCTTTATGTACATTCTTTCAGGGCACCTTTATTACATAAAATTACAAATGTATCAGCATAAATATTTGCTTCATTTTGTGCATAGTGAAGTAGTTCATAGTGAAAATATTGAACGGGGTCAAAAAGCTTCTTCTCCAAGGAAGGGCAGATAAGAAAATTGCCCTGAAATAATTTTCATTTAAACTATCTGCTAAATGAGCATGAGAGGTACAACTTGAAGCTCTGGGTAAAGATGCTGACTTGGTTTATTAGAAATTCATTCTGCTTGGAGTAGTTTTGGTCCAACTCTCTTTTTACAGGCTAAGCAAATGAAGTATTGAAATTCTTCGGCAACCTACTTTCACAATGGCTTGAAAATTAAATTTCATTTCCTAATTATTTCTATCCAGAGGATAATTACTACTACTTATGTTGTTCTGTTATGAACCTTTTGATGTTCTATTATGAAATTCGAATTTCGGTAAATATTACAAAGGATAAAAAGAAATATTTCAATAATATCTGGTAAAATGCAACTGGTACCGATGAGAAGATGTATGAGTTTTTTCCTTACATTTTACTGATTGTCTCAAAGTTCAGGCAATCAAAAGAAACTCTAATTGTGAGAATGAAGAAAGACTGCATAATTGTTTGAATAACACGATGTAAGCGTTCCTACTACTCTTAGTGTCCTTTCTTTGTCACCATCTGGAAGATGAAATATACTCTTAAACAAGAGAAAAAGAAATGCTTATAAAGTTGCTTTCTGCTATATAAACTACTTTATGTTTTAATTTGTTTTTAAGTCTGTAAATGAGTTAAAATTTAATAATATTGAATAAAAGGCAGGATAAATGTATAAATGTCCTCAACGCTGCAATTAATCTACGTTACAAATCATGTATAATTACTTCAGTTGATAACAGTTTCGAGTATAGAGAATCGTTTCAAGGACATAATTTTTGACTCTTTGAGCTTTCCCTATTGCTCAAGAATAAAGAACAAATATTTATAATTGTAAATATTTTTGATAGAGAATAAAGTTTTGAAAGACAGATCTAATGAAACATAACGTTTTTTAACCATGATTTTATGCCTATGCAATCGGCTGTAACTGCAACTATAAGTTTTTTAACCAGATTATATAATGCAATTTTCTTCCACTTAGTTACAGAACGAAGTTCATTATAAAGTTTCCACGAAGAACTCCTCCCCTCCCCCTTTATGAAAGAAATAGTATACGAGTATTTTTCATTGGAAAATACAACACCAAACCCATTAGAAAGGAACTTCTAAGTGGAAACGCAAGGAATGTTTTCCAAGAAGGAAGACCAGATTCAGCAGTAACTTCTAGAGGTTTATTTCAACCTTAAAACCACTTGAGTTCTTAGTAATAAATGTTTCAAAATAAAATTGAGTATTTGACAACAAAGAATGGCTAGTGGTTACTTTGATTTGAATTTAAATTCAATTTGCTTAGAATTTAAATTCAAACCAGAGTTTAAAAAAATAATAAAAATATGGGTTAATGGATGATGGAAGCATAAAATTTAATTTTATTTAATTGAGGACAATTTTAAAAAACTGGAATTTCCAAAGGTGTGGATGGTTCTAATTATTATTTAATTTGACAATTTGCTGAAATTGACATCTATAAATCCATGGCAGCGCGTAGAGAAAAGGAAGCAAAAGGCTAATAAACTTAAGAAATTTTTATTTTATCTATAAAATTTTCAATCCTATTTCTTCCAATTTTAGAAAACGTTTGCTTATTTCTCGCATCTCGGTTTTTGAACACTAAAATGTGTGAAACACTAAACGAAGATATGTAGCAAGATGTATTATTGATATTTCTTAATGTTTTAAACGATTCTGCTGATTTCCATCATGCCATTTACAGATAAAGTGTTTGAGTCTCAGCAATACATTTTCCGTTGTTTGGTCATTATACGCTGCAGTTTTAATTATAGCTATGCAGATTTTATTACTGAATTTTTAACAATTTTCAAATTTCACTTATCAAAGATCGATTTCGAGTTACTATCTCCTTTTATTTTCTAACGTGAGTGATGCAAATTTGTGTGGTGTAAAGGGAAAAGCCGCAGAGTGTTAATTAAGCAACTCTGATAAACAATGATTTTATCTCAGAAAATGTTTCAATGATTTGTACATATTTTGTGATACGGGTTTCAATTATGAAGTCAGAATTCCTCCATCTGACTACACTTTTGTGTAACAATACATTTTATTGTCCGTGTTGTTTAACGTCAGACGTCATTTTGGTTATCATTCTTTTAATGCTTATGTATCATGTCTCTTGATGGTCTTGCTTGGATGATCTTGTGAAGGATTTTCATTTATTTAAACTTCATAGAGATATTGGTATCACAATTAAAGGGATAAAATTCCCTAGAAAAAAGATACAAATTTTCATAATTTTTGTCAGAAGCGCCAAGTACTCAAACTTATTTTCCAATAAAAGGATTATATACATTTTAGCGATATACATACTCCTTATTCTAAGTTTTGGAACATTAACACAATCTTAAGGATGGAAGAAGTTCAAAGCTTTGTATGAGAATTTAAAATTAATTTTGCTTTAAAATGGAAACTATTATAATCAGCCGTCTCACATGATTATGCTGCACATATCGTTTGGAAAATGAAACTTTTGATAAATACTATAAATTTATAGGAGCATATGTGGAATGCAAGTGAAAATTTGAAATAACTTGAAACGTTGAATTGCAACGTGTTTATACGAAATACTGTTGTTTTCTTCTGTGAGTGGGATAGCACGGACACTGAACAGCATTGTAATGAAACCATTCTGTAAATATAGACAGCCGGTCCAGAAATTAAAAATGTAACTTATAAGCATTTATTATCGTTAGAAAGTATAACTCTTGCTATCAAGTAAAATTTAATGAAAATGAAAACTTTATTAGTGAAATGTATAGAAAATAAGACAGTTTTCTATTTTCTAAAAATATATCTCCCTTTAGGGTAAGACAGTAACTCTTTTGGCCTTGCAATAGGAGCTCTTATCATCTAAATCTGAATGTGCACTTTGACCATTATGCATAGAAACCTCTGAACCTTACTGGCGAACTTCTTAGGTAACCAAAAGCCGCAAAATAACACAGAACTAAATAAGTTTCTAAAAATCATTAAAGCATTCAGGTGTAACGTGTCGTTTAATATTCATTTTCTGGACCCCCCCCCAATCTTTATTTTTCCCATCTAATTTAGAGACTAGAAATAACTAGCACAGAGCACGCTTCGAGTAAGACATATGTGCAAAAAGTTGCAAAAGGAAATGGAACTCCAAAGTTGTAATCGAACATTATTGGACTCTAAAAATAGATGTTCTAGAAGATAAATATCAAAAAACGTTGTTTGAAATTTTATTCTAACGTATATTACCATAGATGACAGTCGCTTTTACAAATAAAATAATCACATTTTTTGCATAAGAATTAAAAGTTTGCTATTCAAAAACAATGCCTTTCAGGAAAACTTAGTAACTGTACTTTAAATCAGGATAAAAAATGCTATTTGAAATCTGTTTAAAAAAGGATTGTTTTAAATTTTGCTGTTCAGTGTAATTAACTGCTCGTACTGACCAATTATTTTTTCTACCTTCGGGAGACTACCTTAGTTACCTTGTCAGGTTGCTATGCTGAATATTTAATTACAGAAGAAAATCAGCTTGCCTCTATCAAATTTCTTGAAAAAAGTGATATTTTCATTAATCTTTTAAAGGCTAAATTGTGTTGAAAATTAAGCTAATTAATTTATCTTTAGGAAAGCAGATACTGAGAAAAATTATTTATGTGGATATATATATTTGCTGTTCCTGAACTTACAAATACCACGTTCTTGTGAGATAATTGATCCCATCTCTTCAGAAGTTGTAACTGTCTTTTGGTTTTGTACGACAGATAGAAATGGGTAATAAATAAAATGTTAGTTACTATTTTCTTTTGCTTAATGTTTATTTAGTAATTTCTATATCGGCAATAATATTTTTGAAATAGTGAAATTTTAGACAGAGTGAAAGAGAAGTAACTTACTAAGAAGGTACAATAAAAGGCTAGATGTTACAAACTATGGTTTAGAACTTTAAAATTCTACTTATTTTGCTTGATTATGAGTAGCTTTGAGCTCTGAAGACATACTTCACAAAAACAGCACAAAAATTCCAAGAAACAAAAAGTGCTGGTGCTTTCAATTTTGGATCTTCTCATGTATAATAGTTTAACATTCATGAGTTAATCTGATATTTTTCACTTCATAAAGTTCAACTTCCATAAACTATAGAAAAAGAGAGCAAAAACTGGAGAAAAGTGGTGATCTACACTCTGTCACATGACCAAGAACTATTTTGCTACGTGCAAAGAAAACCATGCTAAGTGGACGCTTTCCAAACCCCATCAATCAGTTCTTGGAATGGGTGCCACATTTTGACCATGGAATTTTATGAATAGTCAACATGTTCAGGAGTCATGAATCTGGAATGTATTTGGGAGTAATTTTGCATGCACAATGATGAGGAGCAGCCACAAAACCCCACTGTGGAGTCCGAAAAGGATCGTCGATTCTTCTGTAGTACATATACATCCATCCATATCGTTCTGTGCACTCGCTGTCATACCTGAAAGTAAAAGTCAGAAGCTTTTGTACATAACATTAGGATGAAATAGTAAAACATACAGAAAAAGAAAGAATTTGAATGCAGCTTTAATGATAAATACTAATAAATAAACATAATTAAAACTACTGTAGTTATAAAACGTTGGGTTGAATTATTTTTTTCCTTAATTCTTGCAGAACTTATTCTAGAACACTTTGCCCAAACGAATCTTATTAATTTGATGTGGGAACATGCTGAAGTAGTTTTCATATATGAAGATAAAACAGTTTGAAAGACGAAATAATTTGAGTTGTGTTGATATAGATTACAGAATTACCTCTCGCCGGCTTTCATGAGCATTGAAAATGAAATACGCCCTTTTAAATTACTAAACGAATAGTTAGAAAATAGTAAACATTTTATTTAGAATTACTAGGAAATGTTAAATTTTGGTGAAAAAATGTCCAGTTCAACTGTGATTAGAAATCAAGTCTGTGCCGTTTATTAAGTTTAGGTTTAGCTTTTCATGAGCATCAGCAGGTTAACAGCGTAATTTAAATTGGAATGCATAATTTAGCTAGCTGCGTTTCAAAAATAATATGTAGAATCTTATTAGTTTAAGTACTTTAATTAATAATTTGAATAATTTACAAATTCCTCTTTTTCACTACAGATATTTTTAATTCTTATGATTTATTTATGTTGGTTACGAATTTTCGAGAAATATTTTACTGTCAATTAATTTTTTTTAGGGTTTTGAAGTTGAAAAGTCTGCTTTTGAAAAATAATTTTATTTTGTTAAGATTATAGATAAGTTTCTGCTTCTTTAGTGCTAATTTTATTTATTTTAATTTTATTAAGTTTATTTAGTTTGGGATAAATGTCTTTCTTTTCTGTTTACTGTTAATGGCAATAATGTCGCCAATACATCTGTAGGTAAATTTTAATATTTCAGGATTATGGAATAAGTTAATGAAATTAAATTCTTAAACAAAAAGGAATAGACCACGAGTGGCTGTAGAATAGTTAGCATCAGCAATATTTTTAATAATTTTTTTAAATTTTAAAATGCTAAAACATAAATATTCTCTCATTTGAAACATTTTCGGAAGTGAAAATGTGTCTGTTACCAACGGTTGCAAAATAATGGCCGCGTAAGGATTTTAGTGGACACGTTTTAGTGTTCAAAAAATTTAATTACAAGTTTTATTTTCATAAATATTGCTTCTAGACATGATATTTCAATTTCTTAAAAAAACGAAAAGAATTATTTTATTATAGTTCTACTGAGCAGAGGGGATCAGTAAAATTTGAATATAATTGTGTTATATGGTCATCCTAGAGTAAGTAAATATCCATTACTCAGTAATTTACTCAGTAATTAATTAATTCTTTATATTTACATGGAAAATATGAGAAAATATTCGACAACAAATTTGCTAATTTATGTCACTTTTCCATACCAATTAGAAATATAATGTTTAAATCAAACTATTTGAGAAACATTTGGGGAGTACATATTAAGATAAATGTTCGCGTTAGGGATTAATGGTAGTCTTAAGGTAAAGCAGTACTTTTGCTAAATTTTTAAGTGACCTATTGAATGTATTTAGTAAGCTTATCCGTAAATTTGCCAGCAATTGCATGGCAGCTTAGCTTTTAGCTAATTTATTCCTTATTTAAGCAAAATATTTTTATAAATCTAAACAAACTGATTATATAGTAAGCATCAGCTTAAATCCTTGTTTTTCAAATTCTTGCCACCATAAATGTAACTTACTGTGATCCTTCAATCTACAGGCCATCTTGTATGCTTAAAATGCATATATACTGAATATGCATTCTGAAAAAAGGCTAAGTTCTCTCTTTAAAACGCCTTTTTGAGAATCGCTTTTCTTTACGTACAGAGCCGAACATTTAGAAAACAGATTCTTACTTTCAAGTTAAAAGAAAGCGTATTTATTTAATTTTCACCAAAATACCACATTATACCATCTAATTATTTTTCTTGTAGAATCACTTGATAGCTTATCCAGGTCAAGTAATGCTTGCTTTTATATTCGACATTCTTAAATGTTGTTAAAATGTAAGTTCCTCTTATTTTCGAGTTAATATGGTAAATTAAATAAAATAATATCTAAGTTTTGGAGACTGGAGAAAATTAACTAATCTTTGAAAAAAAAATCTAGCTCTAAGTAAAATTAATAGCATTTTAAAGAATTTGTATTTAAGAACTTGAACTCATTTACAGATTTTCAAGTTTAGTAAACAGCAGGCCTTTTGCAGTCTTTTTTTAATTGAAATAACAGCTTTTTCTCTCTCAAAACAAATCATTCATTATATATCACTTTAAATGCTTAACAAAACCTTTAGTACCACCCGAATAAAATATTCTGCAATTTTCGGCGGTCCCACATCTTATGCTCAAAGCATTAAGTTTCCAACGAAAGTGTTACAAACTCCGAAGGGAGTTCTATAAATGCGAGGAAGCATTAAGTCTAGCACAATAATTTGGGGGGCGAAGAATTGATTACGTGTGTTTTTCTCATTTTTTCGTTTGTAAATATCGGTGAATCCCTTTGCTTTTCCATTTCAGAACCAAAGACAATTTAAAGTAAGGTATGTGTGCTTTATTCCTTTGTTTCATTAGAATCTCGAATTTCCCTTTATCCCTTTCTTTCATTAAAAGAACAGCTACATCCGTATTTCTCTGGGCTGTTCTCTGGCATTTGTATTGTGTCCTTGAAATTACCTTAAAATCTGCAAGAGCGCACACACATAATAAAGACTGAATTTTTAACTTTTAGATAAAATAGATATCTTATATGTTTTCATTAAAACGAGTTTAATTCTCTACATTTCAAGATATTTAAAGAATAATTGATCGTGACCGATAATCTTATAAAATAGGTGAACATTTTCAACATTTACTTTTTAATTGCCTTACATTTTTTTACTGTATTCTCTTTTAAAAACTTAAAACCGTAAAATGAATTTAAAACCGAAATACACTTTACAAAAGCGATGTTTAAAACATTTGATGCATGAAAATGTATTTTGGAACTAATGTTGAAAGTTCCTTTTAAAACATAGTGCAGAAATCTCTTTATAAGAAACCTTAATAGAAATATTAAATAACATATTGCCAGGTACAGTAAAGCTATCTTAAGGTTATAAGGTATCTTCTTCCTTCTTTCCGCATGCCTTCGTGGCGTAATTGAAAGCATACTTGACGCGCATTCAAGAGGTCAAGGTTTCGAGACCCGGCGAGGGCACTGCACATTTTCACGTATCCTGCTTCAAAATCCCAAATGACTCTACAATCTGTCTGTCATTAATCCAACAAATTTAAGCATTCCAAATGTAACAAAGTAAATTCAGAAACCGTTCTTTTTGAGCACATGTTATTAACTACATGAAAAATTAATTTATTGAAGTAAGTACTAAAAATTCTACTTCCCATAAAGTTCATTTTTAATATCTCTGAAAAGTTTAAATGGGCACAAAGTTAAAATAGGTCATATGAAATGTGTTAAAATAATATAATGAGTAATATTTGAAATGTCAAAATAGGTCAGATGTAGTGTCATAAAATGACATTCGTTTCCTTGTCTCTTTCTTTCCTCAAGCTTAAACAGGAGTAAATATTAGACTGATATACAATTCATGACACATTTTATGGAAATCAAAGTGAAGACAAAAACAATCTAAGAACACAGCTTTATTCAAAATAATGGATCAGCTAAGAATAGAATTAATGTGAGATTATAACAATTAAAAATGGATAGCATAAAATGAAATAAAACGGCTGATGATATCTGAAAAATGAGGAATTGTCATATTATATAAGAATCAAATTCTTATTTAGAAATCTGAATAAAACGTAGATATGAGATTTACGAAATTGGTGCAAAAACATAACAATAATGAATTTCTTCTTATAATGAAAAGAGGTAATTTTCATACCACAGAGAATGCCTATCCTTCACTTTCCCTACCTGTACCAATATGAACGGCTATGAGACATCAAGCTGAACTTATGAAAACAGACTTAATCCAGGTTGATTTTCTATATATGCCGCTTTGACTACTTTGGGGTAAAAAATGCCGAAAGCCGATTATTTATGGAGAAGTGCTGAGTTCAAAACTTACGAGAGTCTTATCCCTCCCATATTTCAAGGCATTATCGATCGTCTCTCGAAACATAAAATGTTTCGCCAACTTGGACTTTTTAGTCATTGTTGGGGACATACTTTTTTGAACTTCGTACAGAATGAACCCATAAAACTACTTTCGTAGTGACACATATATATTATTAATGGTTGAATGATCCATTTAGTTTGAAGATAGCATCCGCCGCGTTTCAATACTCATGCGTGATTCCATAGAAATTGTGTTCAATAAGGGCATTCTAAATTATAGTGAGGACATTGGTATTTTATACTTTTCATAAACTTAAAAATTTATTGTCAAAGGACGTAAGATGATCTCACCGTATATTTCATCCTGCAAGTTTCAAAGTGCCACTATACATGAATCAGAAAATTTAATTTCTAAGCGTCATCATTAGCAATACATTTCAACCTCAAAGAGAAAGGGTTTTTTTTAATTCTGTTTAGAAATTTTACACTTTTGAAATACTTTTAATACTACTTAAAGGAGACATTCAAGGATGATTTTCGAAGAAACGCTGACTTTTATTTTCGTTACATATGCAGAAAGCCACGAAACACTTGAAGTCGGATTGTTCAGTCGCAGAAAGAACACAGAGAGAACTGTCAGTGTTGCACAGCCTTGGTCATTCGGCAATGATAAGCCAAAAAATTTTAAATGGGCACAAAGTTCTTAAATAAAAACAATTACTTAATATGACATTTGGAATGAAATCCATTTATTAAATTCTTTGGTTATTTATTTTTGGAGATCGTCTACCTTGTTTCTTCACGTGTTCTCAAATATGGAACGCATATAGATACTTCATTATTCGAAGAAAATTAATCTTCTGGTCTTCAATTTAGTCC